AGTCATTACTCGTCCGGCTCCAGATGATAGTGTCTGGTCGCGATCCATTGTTCAGCAGCTATGGAGCTCGTATGTACTGGCTAAATCACCATGAAGGACGATGTCTAATAAAATCACAGCTTCTTGAAAGATCTCCCACTTCTTCACTTCCTAACAGACCATGGCGCGTTCGCTTCTCCGACTCCTGTCCTGCTTGCTTCTGTGCTTTACATATCTGCTCTGCACCATCCATCTTCTGGGCTGGCATCGTTGGACTCGGGGTATTTTGCCGCTATGTATAGTGCTATCGCTGAGATTGTGACTCCGTCTCTGCGCCCAAGTTCCCTGCAAGTGTTAGAGCAGAAGAGCGAAGACCAAAATCTCTCCCCACAATCCAAAAGAGAGAAAGCCTTTCATGATATCCTTGGGTTGATCATGGCTAGTTTGAGCTGCGAGGCGTACATTGCTGCTACAGGTTCATGGATTGCAATGGCATATCGCCTCTGGCTTGATCATTGTCCAGTAGATATGACTTCCACTTTGCAAGACTGGCGTGGCTTGTTCTCCGGTCTTCAGGTAGAAACACCTCCCAAACCCGGGATTCGGACGATTTGTTTACATTTGTTTGGTTCAGGTCATTGATATCGAGCACGCCTCAATGCATATGTCCTACCCACTCCTCCCACGACATGCTGCAACTCCAAACATTCAGCGGCTGGATGGCCACCAACGAAATGCTTTTCAAGGCCTTGCCGAAATGATGCACTATGGATTAAGTCACTTTGTCGGCCGTGGACTACCGAGCATATGGTCTTCTATCAATGCAGATGATGCCGACATCGTGCCTACAGCTCGGTCCCCATTTACTGAAAGCGACTTGCAGGTCATCCGGCATTGGGCACGAAAACTTGATGACTGGTTGGTACAATATAATGGCTTATCCCGTGAGTGTCCATGAGCGATGATGCAAGTTCCGGAGCTGACTTTTGTTAGAGCCCACTCCATCTGATCGACAAGGTATTGTTATTTTGCTCCAGTATCACCTGCACAAGTTATATGTGCTTTCGATATATCATCCTGCTCGCGGATTTGATCTCAGTCCTGCGAACATCAGTTCATTTGAGCGACACGAATTACTCGTTTCGGCTCGGGCGGTGCTGAGGCTGAGACAAGATGATGCCAGCATATGGTCCAATTGGGACTTGGTTGTAAGTTCAGTCCCAGAACCAGTATTTCTCTTTCTAACAATTTAGATGATTACATGGGCGGCCGTATTACTCCTCCAAGGCGTTGAAGATGGCATGACGCACCAAGATGGTATGACATATTCAACTCCCAGAAAGTAGAAGCATCAACCTCATTCTAATTCTCTATTCCAGACCTACATCTCATTCAAGCACACCTCCAAAGCTTAGAACGAAGAAACCGTTCCGCTGCAAGCATTCATACTGTTCTATTCCACAGGCTCGAGTCTAGTATGCAAGCCATGCATACTCCCCCAGACACAAGCGTGGCATTAGCGTTCCCAGGCCCAAGCGCAGACGACTCGTGGACTATCTTTGACCAGGAGATAATGTCTCTTGCAAACCCGCCATGGCTATTCGATGAATCGACGCAGCTACCACAGATTCAAAAGGTGCCTGCAGTGCATCATTTACATTCTGGACTCCCACCTTTCCAGTACGACTCTACCATTCTAGCAACTGCATCCCAACACTTTGAGCCAAATTCACAGTAGTGCTGCACTTAGGCAAACTTCGCTTATTCAAGCGGATCCTCGGTTCATTATCATCAACCCGGAAGAGGATTTAGTAGTGCATGAAGAATCATTGCTTGATGTAATCTAGAAATATGCCCTTTACACTTCAAATCACAGTCGATGAAAGGAACCACCACACAGCCTCCGAACACAAAATCTCAGTTTGAAAGTGTCCATCCCCTCGTGGTAATCTTTCATCATCTTATCCGCCCCGGCCCACTTCTCCATCCTGGTCTCAACCTCCCATTTCGTTTCCGTTTCAGAACCCACCTGCTCCCAGAACTTTTCCCACGTAGCAGGATCATGACGATAGTGCTTACCAGCGGCCTCCTTATCTTCCGGCGGAGGGGGATTCACTAGACCGATCTGTCGTCCTATCAAAAGAGAGCCGGGCTTATCCTGGAGTAATCCGATAAGCCGCTTCGCAACAAGGAGCTGCTGGTTCCAATTGAAAAGATGGAAAAAGGAAGCTGCGTTGATAATATCAATTTTGTTGGTCAGGTTCTTCACTAGATCGGAGTTGTCGTCGAATACGTCTGCTACTATGAACTGGGCTTTGAGATGATCATGGTCGTTGAAAAGGTCGTATCCAATGTCGTAGAAGTCTTGCCGCAGGTCTGAAGCATACAGGTTCTCAGAAGGGACCCCATCGAATACCTGATCACGTTAGATTGGCTTTCATTGCTCTAGGCTTTATATGAGCTGCCTTACCAGTTGACGCAACTCTTGCCCCACTGCACATCCAACATCGAGCAGTTTCTGGCCAGACTTCAGCCTGTCAAGGACCTCGGGGTATAGTGGTGATTGTGGGATGCTCAAGTCCAGGAACCGGAATGATCCAATACAAGGGTACGGGAACTGAGGAGATTGGTTAGCATGTTTGGTCAATAGTAGTCGTCTTCCAGTTGTTCGAAGATTTGAGAGCTGCCAATTGGGCCTGACGGGGATGGAATCCGCGAGCTCTTCGAGGTACAAGGTGATCGGACAGATTGTGGGTAAAATAAGATCGACACTTACCACAGCAAATGCTCGATCTCTCTGTGTCATTCCATAGTGATTAATTTAGACACTCCCACCATGGATGGGAAGGACTCACCACTTTCTTTACATGGTTCACCACCTGGTCAGGTGGGATTTTGCTGTACTTCTCGAGCAGGGTCTTCGCAGGCTCGGGAGCCTCAATCAGCTCAGGTTCGTACCAGGGGAACTTCTGAGGATCGAAGCCGCCATCGAGGATGGATCTGAGATCGGACTCAGCCTTGGCCATGTCGGAGTGGAGGGTCGAGGTCGGGTGCGGAGCAAAGCCTGTGATGTGACTGAGTACTCCTGTAGAATTTGGATCTCGTAGAGCTTGGCTATGTACTTCAGTCTCTCATCTTTGAGGCAAATTGCAAAGACATTCGCGTTCCGTGCTGAGGATGCCCCGCGTGGGGCGTGTGGATATCCCGCAATTTCCCCTTGGCTCTTGTCCACGTCCGATCTCCGTAGGTGACTATCCCAGTTGAACTTGAAGCAGAACCTCATTAGTTGAAGGTCAGGATCTAAGATTAACGTTGGAGAGAGGCATGTTTATGGAGTCATTTCGATCGCCTGATATGTCAGGCCCATCGATAGATAACTAACCATTTAATTAGTGTTATTTTCTTCCAGAATGATTTCAATCCTCTTTTTTTCCCCTAGCCGATACAGTGGCATCTACGTATGGAGTACAAGAAGAAGAGATCTTACTCAAAGTAGAGTGTCATATTGCTTCATAAGGACATATAAAGCCACGGTCACACGAAAAGAGCTTCATGATATAGCTTTTGATGAGGGTTGCATCTACAAACCCCTGATCAATAAGAATTCCCCAGAATAATCAAAGAGACACGGTTGACGCGAATGTGGAGCTCTATAGCGATTGTATAGTGATCGTAGCAAAATCAAACTACATAATAATGCGGATGTGTCAGACTCTATAAGCAATTTTCAGATCTCTTTGGCGTAATGTGAGTAGTATACGCAATATAATGGTAAAGAAGGAATTTTCTCTTCTTCACTGTAAGCCTACAAGATTATAACAATCCGCTGCTTGCTTGGTCTCACATTTTGAGGTGTTCTTTGTGCTTCTAGCGATGCAAATGGTTGTCAGGAAACAAAGTAGTTCTGGCAAACTGCTCATTTGAGGATATATATATATATGAGGCCTTTGGTAGAATTCCCTGTGTATTCTTTGAATCCTCCTCCTTTCTTTCCACTTTTAGTCTTTGTCAGGCAATCTCGCCCCTGTTCATTTACAGCTCTTATATTCAAGACGACAAAGCCGCCCCCCTGTGCGGAAAGCCAGAGCCAGCAGTGCTGTATGTTATAGCATCAAAATGACGCCTTGATATGAGCTGTGGTCAAACAAATCATGTCCAATATTCCATCGGCCGACGAATAATACCCTCCTGGAGAGGGTCTCCTCATACTGGAGATACAGGCGCGAGTTTTGAAATCTCTCGTCCGATGTTGTATACAACTGGTGCACGATATTCGCGAATCCGATTCGATGAGTGACTCCTTTCCGATATTACCAGAACCGCCTCTACAACCCCGAGCCAAGCTGCCATATAGATAGGAGACGTACCATCGAGATCTTTCTTTCTTGAAGTGGCCTTGGGATGGTTCTACTGGGTCTAACCCACAGAGTCCGCAGTGCAGTGGAAGAGGAACGCGGCAACGAAGACATTCATAATTTTAACTGGATGGATGCTAGGGCGGAATACCATAGTCTATCTCAATGAGCTCATCGCATAGTTGAAAACTCAGAGGCAGTTGCAATGTTCATCTCTTTTATAAGACTTATGTTAGAACTTTATAGCCCACTCTCTACATTAGCTCTTACAAAACCTCATCTGCTCCCAAGCAACCAATATCTTTGATTTAGACCCCGGTCCTGGCAGTAATCATAGCTTGAATGATGGTTCAGGGAGCGCTTTTGATTGCATTCTTCCCCAGCGGCTGTAATACAAGGCAGGATGCTAAAGTTGCATTCTAGGACATTGTGTTTCATCTTACTCAAGTTTGTCACAGCAAAATTTCCTCTCTGTTGTAGACATGAACGGTCAATACCGTAATACTAGATGTCGGAACAATGGTGTAAGGTACACAGGGAAAAATCAAGCCTAGCTTAAAGAGCCTCCTTCTATCTAGCCACCTATGAATATCCCATTCTATTTGATTTTTGACACAGTACTACATAGGTATATTGCATCAGAAATAAATCTCGATATTCAGAGCCATGTCCGGCAACGTGAGTGAACTATGGTTACCTGCCTCCACCTCGCCTCATCTAACATAGTTCCTATATCTCAGTACACTTGCGTTCCCACCATCAAATGGCTCATCAGAGCTCTCCGTAACGACAACGTGGAAGCCGACGGTATCGCCACTTGGAATGCAATCCTGAATCTGCGATTCCCATCAACACAAGGCTTTTCCATTCACCTATATGCCCACAGCGCTGTGCGTGGATGTCCAGATTGGGTCGAGCTTCAAATTTCACATTTGAAAGACGGCCACCAGAATCCAGTTCTCGTGGTATACTACCAACGCGCTGATAGGCAGAATGATGATCAGTGGGAAGATGGACAGGGAGAGCTACAGCTGTATCTTACGTTTCGGTATCATAACTTTGCAGAAGATGCATCGCCTATCTATGGAATTCTTGCAATTGGTGCCAAGTTGAAGATCTTCCAGTACGACAATCCCTCGCGAAGCATCGAGCGGTTTGTTCCGCCTTGGGATTTGGAGCGTCACGATGAGCAGGTGTGGAACATGCTTAGAAAAATCAGCAGGAGTCACACTGATGCTGGGGTCAGTGAAACGAGAGGCATCAAAGATGAGGCTGGTGGACAGGGGAACCAGGAACCGAAGAATTTGTCGAGGGAGGCTCAGGCAGTTTGGTGTAAGAAGTCAAAGACTTGAGGTCCTAAAGTTGAAGCGGTACGGGCAGCATGATCAGGCTGTGTTGATGGGTGTTGGGGACAGTGTAGCAGAAAACGGGTGAAATGCTCATAGAGCAAGAGTTGATGGAGGGTAATACCCACATGACAATTATCACGTCGTGGGCTTAGAGGGTCAAAAGTGTTCAAGATCAATTAGGATTTTTCATGTTTTCATCATGTTTTCAATTTGAAAAGCGCTCGGGAAGTTCTGGCACTCTTGAAACTCTCGAATTCATGGGGGTATAGTGTAACAAAGTCGCTAATATCATACAAAAATAGGTGATCGATGGCAGAGGTCCTCAATAACCACTTAAAGCAAATTGCAGCAATGCGCGTGGGGACATATTAGCTTGATCAATCGAGAGAAGTCGTGTTATCACCAAGCTCATGGGGAGACATAGCCCCTGGCGAGGATTTGGACAAGCCGGGAGAATCCATGGCCAAAGACGAAGGCGACATAGATAGAGATGGGAAGGGCTCGGTTTGGTTGTCGGACATCCGGCGGCTTGATGACTCGCTGAATGTCCTTCTCGGGATATGATTAAATTGTTGTGACCGCAGACTTGAGTTAGTGGGTGCTGCAGCAGGCTAAACAAGTAAATTGGTTAGTTTCTTCATCGCTGAGGCTAAAACATGCAATGTGTCATACCTTATCACCGCCTCCCGCATCAAGGCCTCGGCTTAAAGCCAGCTCGTGGGCAGCAAGCCGTCGCCTCTCAATATCCGCTTCCTCTTCTAATGCCGCGCGCTGCTCTTCTGTCTTCAAGTCTGTTAATGATGGTGTGTCGACACTTTGAGCACTAGCCGATCGCTTTGGGGACCGTTTCTTCTTCCGCTTGGTCTTTTTTACAGATGTGGCACCGAGACTGGACGCGGATGCAGACTGTATAAGCTCAGACTTTGTCCCCGACTGATCATCTGATTCCAGGCCCGTTCCCCGGCGCCCAAAAGCAAGTGCAAACTCATCGTCAAGTGGCACTGCATCTTCCTCCTCATCACTAGGGAATAGATCTCCGCGCGAGCTAAGTGAATTGTCTGTTCCGCGGGAAGATTGCGTGGCACTGCGATTCCTCATATTAGGGGCGGGGGAAAATTGCTCTCCATCATCGTCCGCAGCTTCCATTAGCGGCTCATTTTCGTGCGCATAGCGCCGGGCGCCAGGATGTTCTTGGAGATCAGCAGCCGAAGGCCGATACTTGACTCCCCTAGCACCAAGTCTCCACGGAAAGCGCTCGAGGAAGCCAAGGAGGGAAGAGCTGGGAATTACGGTTGGGTCATCGCGATTGTCCGGCATGAGAGCGGTGCTCCTTCGCCTAGTGTTGCGCGTCCCGTAGCTCATCCTCCGGGGCCGACGCGGCTGGTCAGCAGCTCCGCGCGCCAGCCCGCTGCCAGCAAGGAGGCGGTCGAGTTCACCTGTACTCCACCCAATTAAGCCATCATCTTCTTCGTCGTTGGCCCAGTCATCGTAAAAATCAAAGTTGGCTTCGGCTTGGCCCCTTCGTCGCCGCCTTAGGTGGTCTTCTCGGCTCGGGAGGCACGGTGCTGTACATGCAGTCAGGCAGTTCCCAATGGATTCAAAACACGGGGAGATGTAGTTGTGGGAGAAAGTATAAAGCCCTTCTTGAGCGGTTTCGTTGGCAGTCTCAATGTTATGGGAGATCTGATTGATCCTTTGTCGGATGCGGGGGTCGCGCGGTCGCATCATCTTGGGCAACAGCGTCAACGATAGACGCTACTTAAGATGGATATCGTCTGATTCGCTCCACCAGCTGCCGCTGGCGACATCGGAAAAGTTACAGGGTTGGGCAGAGGCAAGTGAAGTCGATACGAATCCGACCTCGCGATGTCATTCCTTGCTTAGTCAGCGCGGGTAATTTCTGGGGGAAATTTGGGTTGATGAAGATGCGTTCAGGAGGGAGAGGCATGGAACTTGGAGAAAGCATTGTGTTCTGTATCTCCAAGATGGTGTACTATGTTCGATTCCTGAAAACACCCAGGATCCAGCAGCAGAAAGGGTCCCCCTACCTCTCCGCCCTTATCTGCATCACCACTGATCTAGGCGATTCTTTTTTCGCCGAAGATGTTGATTTGAAGGTGATAGTCCGCAACCATTCTTCTCATGTTTTGATTGAGAAAAAAGCGAAATGGAACGCCAGTGATCGAGAACTTGCTATTACCCTGGGACCTCTCCCATCCAATCTGGTTCAGCAGTCTATGGTGTTGACGGTTCAAGTGCCAAACCCACCAGGGTACTCTATACCCCAGTATCCCCCCATACCATTAGTGGTTGGCGCAACAAGTGCCTCATTTGGGCCTCAGTCCACTCCAGCGGAGAAGCTGGTTCAACGGCAGATCCAATATAGTGGCCGTGAAAAAGTTCCCATACAAATATGGGAAGAGACAGGGAATAGCATTGCTCGGCACATATGGTAAGTTCACCCTCCTACTGAACCTCTGTTTCTCTGTCAAGATTCTAAAGGAATGTCCACAGGGATGCGGGGCTCGCAACAGTTACATATCTTCACATGATATGTGATAATGTAAAGAAGTCGGCCCGTAATGACAGCAAGAAAGGCACTGAGCCTCAAATACCAGCTTTGGAACGTGTCCTATCCATCAACCGCGATGAGCCTCTTCAGGTAGTTGAGCTGGGGGCCGGATGTGGAATAGTAGGAATTTCATTGGCAACAATGCTTCCTAACTGTTCGGTCATCCTCACGGACCTCCCAGAGGTTGAGGACATAGTAACACGCAATATTAATGCCACCCAACTCGCAACTATGTCCAGTCTTCACTATCAAAACCTTGACTGGGATGACCCACCGGATGAGCTTTGCTCCCGACCCATTGAGCTCATTCTTGTCTCCGATTGTACATACAATGCAGACAGCTTGCCAGCGCTAGTCTCTACACTCGATCGATTGGTTCGGACCTCCCCGCTGGCAATTATCTTGGTGGCTTTGAAGAGACGCCATGACAGCGAAACGGTATTTTTTGACTTGATGACGTCGGCGGGTTTTACGGCGGTGCAGGACAGCATTGAAATTCCCTCTCAATACGACGAGGTGGACGAGATTGAGTTTTACTGCTACAGTCGACTGACTGGGGGAAGATAGAGATAGCATATAGAACATTGGCTCCGGGGATCAGAAAGCCATTAGTATTAAGCTAGACTAACTTTACATAAATTTCCTAATTATAGATTTCTCGGCTTTGTCTCGATATCAGCAATATACAACAAGGCAAAGAAGGTCGTCTTAACCATCTTAAATTGGCCATCCCTGTCCTTGGTCTGGCCCTCCAGATCCACATATCGATCCATTCTTTCCACCGACCTAGAACAGACGCCAGTGGAGTTAATCACGATGGGGGAAGGAAAGGAATCTTTGCACCATCTTTCGAGGCTCAAGAAAGGCTTGTACGTGTTACCTACAAGAGTGCGGATCTTGAGTATAAATATACATCCTGTGTCGAGGCATAGGGTACTGGACGTCAAATGAAGCTAGAAAAATGCAATGGGTTTTAACGAAGCAATGCAACCAAAGTTCAATAAACACAGAACCTTGGAAGCTACTGTCCACAGATTCGAAAGATCAATTAGTCAAGCCGGAAGGCTCAATGTAACGGACCCTCCCATCTTCTCCTGGATCGAAGCCATGACATCTGGCATGTTCGATACTAGCCCCACATTCCATTTGTCTTTCTTAACACCCCCCAAAATCATACCCTTGACCTCTCCACTCTCACCGAGAACGAATGAACCAGAGTCCCCATCCTTGCAGAACCATTCCTCATTAACTCCAGCTTTTTTGCCCACAATAACGAACTCTTGGGTTTCAAGAGCACGCATTTCCTTTGCTTCTCCCTTCGGAGTATATCTTACTCCAGGGCCATTCCAGTTGCAGTATGCTTTTGGGCCGTTCACTGTACCTGCAGTAAAGCCAGACGTGCGACCCTTTTTGCAACACCAATCCCCATCTTTAAGTAACCCAAACTCACTGAGAGGTTTCTTTCCTTGCCAGATTGCAGACTTTTGAGACGGGCTCCATTTCTCTGGCTGGTAATCCTTAGAGACCGATGGCATGAAATTTGGCCTGAAGAACTTTGGCTCGGTGGCTTCGGACATCTGGACGAATGCCCAGTCTAGAACGTGACCATCACGCACCTCATGTCCTGAGACAAACTGAACATCACCTAGGCGGAACGGCATTCGGTCGACGACTGAACGTAGAAGCAACGCCTCTTGGATTGAATCTTTTGTAATTGAAAGCGTCTCCAGGAGTCCGGGATTTGGTGTAACTCCGAGTAGCTCTCGCTCTTGCACCTTGGCATTCAGTTCAGTCTCGTGTTCGCGCATTACCTTCAAGTGCTCGGAAATTTGGGCAGCGGTGGCGTCTTTATCAAGGCCAGATGGCGATTCCATCGTGATTTTGTTGGCCAGAGGGCGCACAGTGGAGGAGCCGAAACGGTCGAGACTTTGGAGAAAATCGTTGCTGCCAGAGGGGCATTGGGGCGGCGATGGCCTGACCACATGGTAATTGGTCAAAAAACCTCTACGAACGACATCACCGTGAGTCAATGTCACAAACCCGCCAAGCGTTCCGGCGTTTTTGTCTCCTTCAATTCCGATCGAGGATCCCATTCGGGGAACCTCATGCTCTTTGACGTTGTGTATGAACGAAATGCCGCCTCCATTCAGGAATGACATGGCGCCGGGTAAAAATTCGACGTCAAAGCTGTCCGCTTGAATGTGTGGCAAGAGTCGAGACATAACTTGAAGTCGCAGCTCAAACCAGTTTGTAATCGTCCATGGCTCCACAAATACCACAATAGTCGGTTGCGCCTTGGCGTCACTCGGACCAACGTTGAAGGGGCATAGCATATTGAAGTTCGAACCAAGTGTCTGCTTCAGGATGGCGACAAGATTCTGCATGACTCGGTCGTATGCTTTGACAAGAGGGTGGTTTGAGGCGATAGAGAAAAATGTTGGATGGTGGCAGAGCTTGTCGTTCGAAATTTCGACATGCACTCTGACCTTGTGTCGGCGGAAGAGGCTCAAGATCTCGTCTTTGATAGGGCCAAGAGGAGAGATGTTTGGAGTCGAGGTATCAAGGAGGACACTGAAAATATCGACGGGGATGTCACCACGGGGATACCCCGGCTTGGTCATCCTCCAACACCGATACATCATCATCCCCGGCAGATTGTGTTGGCTCAATATCGAACTGACTTCAGGATAGAGTGGACTGAGTACTTTTTCAAGAGAAGGGAGAAACTCCAGTTTCACCGGCGAAGGAAACCGACTGGGGATACTGGTCGATCGGTAAACTTCGACGCGCTGTAAGTACCGCTCAAGACTCATGTCACCTTCGGCATCACTGGACTCACGAAGGTGGCGGCGTCGTTTTCGAGGAGACAGCGGGGGTGTAGGAAGGTCTGAAGCTCCTAGAGACGGCACTGAGGGGTCCATGACTGAAGTGAGAGTGAAATGATAAATCAGAGTAAAGATTGTAACAGAAGATGAATAGTGCAAAGACTTGAAGAAACCTGGAAGCGTGAGGAGGGAAGAGGAAGAAGGAGAAGAAGAAGTATTGGAGCTCTTTCTATACCCCAGAGGTTGGCGGATAGGTACCAAGGTTTGTATTGGTGTATGAATAAAAGGGTTTATATTGTTCAGAGAACAATAGAGTTGGTATTGTTCCTAGGTATAAAAACAAGGCGCAGATCATAGTATTGATCAGCTATACATTAATCTAGTCCTTACTAGACTACGACATCGCCCATAGATAGGTGGGTGGGCATTACCCACAGGCCTTATATAAGTGGGAAATAGGCCCTATAGAGAGGCTAGACTGCGGCACGATCCGCAAAGTGTGGATTTGGATATTTTTTGATATCCAATATCCGTGGCCTTAAGGATTTAGATATAGACCTTATATCTATTAGATATCCGTAGATATCTAATAGATATTAAATAATATAAATATACCTAGACTTATAACCTTAAGGGGTATATATTATTAGTATATATTCCTATATATTTTTTATATAATACTTAGTACTTAAGGTTATTAAATATCACTAGATAAGTATAATTTCTGACCTTGGTTAGAAATTATAGGTAGAAGGTTAAGTACTACTCTACTACTAGATTTATAACTATAGTTAGAGATTCTAATTATATACTTTTTTAGGGGGTTTTGTTACCAGCCAGTTCTTTAAACAAAAGAGTGTATTTCAACGAGAATACTAAGTATAGAGAGAGAAGGAAAAGGAAGAAAGAAAACTCTAGGATAGGATCCTTTGTGTAGTCCTATGTTACGCACTAGCTAACTGGTCACGGTTAGGTTGGACGGTTCAGGGTATAGTTACCTTAATACGCCTTGGGTTCTCTAACGTTAACGATACGTCTATCGTCACTAAGCTATTACCTTATCCGTTAGGCCTTACTTTAGCCTAAGTCCCTAGAAGTTATATCGAGGAATCGATACTAGGTAGAGCGCCGAGTAGATCTATACTAGAGTATTAGTCTAGCTCGTAGTGTTATTAAGTTATAACTAAGTTAAGAGTCGGTAGTCTTAAAGGTAGATATAAGTAATAATATATAATTAAAGATAAAGAACTAAACTAAGTATATAAATAAGTATCCTTATATATCCTCCTATCTTCCTAGAGTAGTTAGGTAGATAGTAGCTTAGTAGATTTATCTTAGTAGGATCTACTATTCTACTATTAACTAGTTTACTACCTATATAGTTATATAATATAGTTTCTAGTTTATTAAGATATCCTTTATATATAATCCTAGTTTATTAGCTCTTAATAGCCTATTAATACTAGTAGGGTATTTTAGGTTATTAGGTACCTAATAGGTCTATAATATTACCTTCTCCTTCCTAGGAGTTTTATCCTTAAAGCTTATAAAGCTATAGTCTCTCTCTTTCTTAGTAAGTTAGGTTCCCTATTCTTTCTATCCTATTATACCTAAATATAAGGCTAATTCTATCTTAGAAAGTATCCCTAAACTTCCTTATAATTCTTTGATTACTTATTATATATAAGTAGATTATATTAAGGTAAATAGTTTTATAACTACTATTTCTTATAGTTACTACTTTAGTTTAGATATATTTTATATAATAGATTATTCTTATTATTATTCTAAATATACTACTTATATATAGGTAGGTTAGTTATATAAATAAGATTTCTATACTTCTTATAAATAGGATCTATTATATAATACTAAAGATAAACTTTCTATCGATATTAAAAAGAATAAAAGTAAACTCGATTTACTAGAGCCTAAGTTATCTACACTATAATCTTATCTTATAGAGTTATACTAAAAATTACTAAATAAATAAAAATAATATTAAGAAGCTATATTATATTAGCGATAGTTAAGAAAGTAAATAGCTTTCTTAAAATAAAAGGGTTTTAAAATATTAGAGTATAATACTAAGCTTCTTCGAATTCTTAATAAAAAATATTTATCCCCTAAGTAGCCTCCCTCTTCTACCCTTAATCTAGAGTAGTTAGCCGCTACTACCGATTATCCTAACTTTAATTAGATATTATCGGAGATTATTAGTCTCCTTTCTTCTTTCTAGGATTCTAAGTCTTCTTTATCTCTTACTATTCCGGAGTTCGCTTTACTTTCTAGTAGTATTATTAAATAAGCTAGTAGTAGCCCCTTAAGTTTATAATAGGTTCCTATATATTTTCTAAGGTAGGGTATCCTTTCTACTATACTAAAAGCTATTACTAATTATTATACTATCGATCTACTAAGATATATTTAACTTTATATTCTTCTTTAGTTTCTATATTAAGGTCTATATTAGTAGCGATTTTAGTATTAGCTAGTATAGATTTAAGTAATAAGATATAAAATACTAGGTAAAGTCTTTATATACTATATAGGAGTTTTAATTAATAATTTACTTATCCGATTTTTTATCGATTTTAAAAGGTCCTAATTATAGATAGTCTAGCTTATCGCTTAGTTACTTAGTTTTAATATTTTATTATAGGAGATAGACTTTTTCCCCCTTTTTTAGGTCTAGCCCTCCCTTATATTAGTTATTATAGTATTTCTTTATATAGAGATTAATAAAATTAATATCTCTTAATAGCTATAGATATAGCTATTTTAGCTCTATAGCTTTAAGTTATACTAACTTAGCTATAGTAGTTTTTTCTTATAGAGTTCTAATTACCCTTAGGTAGTATCTAAAGTTTATATAGAATAGTGATTTATTAGTAGTTATATATATAGTATTATTATATACTAATTATACTATTAATAATAGTCCTATCTAATTATCTTATTAGTAGTTTATATAGTGTCTTAGATACTATTTTAGGGTCTAATTTACCCTTTTAGTCTATCTATTAGTCTATAGGTAGTAGGTAGTAAAGAGTCTTAGCTTAATATCTAGTTAGTCTATAAATAATTACTATATATTTAAGGTAAATAGCTTATCTCTATTAGATATAATCTTAGTTAGTAATCTATAGTTAGCGATTATATATTATAGGATAATATTAGCTATTTAGTTAGTAGTAATAGTTTCTATAGTTAGGATTATATAGGTATATTTTATTAGCCTATCGACTATAACTATAATTATATTATATCTATTAGATATTAGTAGCTTTATAATAAAGTCTATTATAATCTATTCCTCTAGTTTAGTAGGTATTTCTAATAGTTATATTTCCCTATATAGTATATATTATATAGGTTTATTTCTCTAGTATAGTAGCTAGTATCTAGTAGTTATATAAGATTATTCTATCTAAATTTTATTTTAGGATAGTAGATTCTACTACTTTAGTCCCTAATTTATAGTCTAGTTATTAGCTAAGTATATCTATTTAGCTATTTTCTATTCTCTTATAATATTCGATTCTAAAGTTATACTATACTAAGGTTTTAGCCTATTATACTTATTATTATATAAGTACTTTTATAGTAGTAAAGAATATAAGATTCTTATAGTCTAACTTAACTACTACTATATATTTAGCTCCTTTAAGGTATACTCTCTAGACTTAGAAGGCTAATACTATAGCTAAGAGTTCCTTATTATATATATTATAGTTAAGCTCTACTAGGATTATCTTTCTAGACTAAAACACTACTAGTTAGTATTTCCTATCTATTCCTAGTTAGGTAAGCCTTACTCCTAGGGTATAATCTAAAGTATCTATTTCTATAGTAATAGGTTAGTTATAATTAAAGGTAGCTATAATAGTACCTTAGGTAAATAGCTTTTAAAGTTCGTTAAATACTTATTCTACTTATTTATCCTATATAAAAGGTTAGTCCTTTTTAGTTAGTTAGTATAAACTAGTTACTATTTTAGTATATCTATCGATAATCTTCCGATAGTACTTTACTAATCCTAGGAATTATTATACTTCCTTAATATTCTTTAGCGTTAGCTATTCTATAATACTTTTAACTTTATCTTCTTCTATTCCTAGTCTATCGGGACTAATATAGTATCCGAGGAACGTAGTTTCCTAGATATAAAACTTATATTTTTTAAGTTTAAGGGTAATTTCTACTTCCCTTAGTTTCTATAGCACTTTCCGGTTATACTAAATATATTCCTCCTTTATTCTAGAGAACACTAAGATATTATTAAGGTATATAATTGTAAGTATAATAGTAATTATAAGATATATTGATATACTATGGTGTGTAAGAATAAGATATATATTTTACCGGTAGTATCTAAGAGAACCTTAGGTATATTATTTACGGTAAACTATATTATAACTTATAATATATCGCTATAAATCTAGGATATCATAACAAAGTCATTATATTATTAATGACTTTCTATGATATTCTATACTACTAGAGCTTATCTATATAAGGAAGAAAGGATTCCTAGCTAGAAAATAATTAATTTCAATATAATCTTTCTTACCTCTTACCTATTGTTATTTACTTAAGCTAAGTATAAACCTTTCTATATCTTATATAATATAATATTATATAATATAAAGCTTACCTAATATACCTTCCCCTATAAAATATTATAACCTACTATTAGGCTATAATATTATTTCTGCTAAAAGTGCTTATAGGTTATAAGCCTAGTTTACTATATATTTCCTAAATAGGAAATACCGATATATTACTAAGCCTTCTCCGAATAATTTCCGAATTACTATATTTAGTAAGATACTAAATATAGTACTATACTATATTACTAAATATAGTAATATACTATATACTATTAAGTATATAGTGATATATTCTTATAATTATATATAGTATATATTACTATATATAGTAAGCTATATATATAAGTATACTATTATATATAGTATACTATATATATATATATACCTAATCTCCGATATTTATTATATATCTTACTATAGCCTCCCTAGATAAGATATATCTCCCTAAGCTTAGGGGCTTAGAGAACTATACTATATAGTCTA